AGAGAGAGAGAGAGAGGGAGTGAGAGAGAGAGGGGGGTGTAAGGGTGAGAGAACGGTGTACAGGGTGATCAAAAAAAAACTTTACAACTTGTTTTGTAAATATCTTCGTCCATACAGAAGTTGTGCCTTTAAGATTTGAACATAACGTTTGGAAGCCAAAAGGAATTTGTCTGACATGTATTTTAGATAAGTCCATCAAATGGTTTTGCTCTATAGAGCGCATTAAAATAACAACCCATTTTCAACCTTGTCACCATTTTCATAGCATGACGCACCAGTTCGCATTAGGCCTACCACTAAAAGTTGCAACAATCACGCCATATTGTAAGCTACAGCAGTCTAACAAGTCAACAGAAGTTTGCTTATATTATTTTTCCCAAATTTTGTTTGCCTGCTGAGAACATGGCTACGTTTAGTAAAGAGCAGAGAGCTTTTTGTATTGAACATTACCTCTCCACAAACTCCCCATCCCTGACATTTCGTAAGTTCTGCGCACGGCAAGGAGAGAATGCTTAGGTGCCCTCAAGACCTTTGACGTCATGAGTAGAGACCATCCGTCAGTTTGGATCTATAGCGAATCAGAACTAAAAAGTTCTTTAAAAAATGACCACTTCAGGTCGAACACGCACCATGCGCAGCCCTTTAAACGTCACCAGAGTGCAGATTTCAGTAGCCGAGTCCCATGAGACATCTATCCGTAGACGATCTGTAGCTAGAACTTTCCCACACATCAACAGTCAACATTCTCATGGCAGATCTTAACCTACGACTATGCCATATTCATCTTCGCTAGGCCAAGGTGACATGGATCAGAGCATGGCAATGTGTTCATGATTCCTCGATTGTCTTGTAAAGTGGGATCATTTCCTCAATGAAATTTGGTTTAGTGCAAAGCCCATTTTCACCCTGCGGGATAAGTTAACTCCAAAAAATGCTGTCTATTGGGCACCCCACTCTATTGTCTCTTGAAGCCACTTATTAGCGAACATGTACAGTGTATGTGGCTTTAAAAACTCATGGTTTAGCAGGTCCTTGTATTAGGGCGCCACTGAACATTTCGAACGACGCCTTAAAAATGTGCTGAGTCCAATGGAGGGAATGTGGAGCACTCTTCTAGGAATTTCAGAATGAAATTATTAGGTTTTTAAAACTCTGTAAAAGAAATAAAATATTGTTTAAATGTCACAGGGATGGAAAATTAATGTTAAAGAGAGGCTAAAGAAAAAGGTCAACTATTCTTTCCACGACTTCCTTTACAAGATTGTTAAACATTGGTGAACTTTGCGTTTTTGGGTGCTTTTATCTTTTAGCCGTTTCCGTTTTCAAAACATGTTTCTTATTCGTAGAGTTTATATCAAACAAATTCCTTTTGAATTAATTATGTCTGTTCCAAATTACAGCATTCTAGAACAATTTTTGCGCGAGATATTCAGAAACAAAGTTGTAAAGTTGTTTTTGGATCACCCTGTATGTATGTTGCTTAGAGGTTTACTGTTAAATGGCATTCAATACTTTCCAAGTTAATCTGGCGTATTAGGAAACATAAGTAAAAAATGTATTTTCCATTATGTTTCCAATCACAAAACCCACTTAATTATAATCTAAACACGAAGTTGTTCATCCATTTCATCAACTATTCATTCATGTCTTTACTGACATTTTTGAAAATTATTTTCAAACCAAATTAGTTGATCCCATCCCGCATTAATGTTTCCCTCCATTTGCTCATTCGTTCTACAGTTTCTCACTTTTGTTTCATTCAGAATGTCCAGCAAAGACGTGGGGTAAAGACTGTAAGGAAGCCTGTGATGGTCGATGTGTAGACCAATTGTGCCACCACATCAGTGGGACTTGTGACGACTGCCAACCCGGGAAGGAAGGAGATCTCTGAGAACAAGGTCATCATCATCATCATCATTGCCTTTCTCACCCTGCACCAGGGTATAGGCCACGGACAAACACCTTCCACCTTTCTCTATCCTGGGCTAGCCTCTTAATGTTATTCCATGTCTTCCCACTTTTCTGTACATCGATTTCTGTGATTTTTCTCCAGGTTCCTCGCGGTCTTCCCCTTGATCTCTTACCCTGTGGGTTCTAATCCCAAACTTTCTTTGTTATGTGTGTGGTGTTAAAAGATTGTGTGTGCTTATGATGAGTGTTGTGTACGTCCTTTTTAGTGTAGAAGAGCGTGTATTGTTGTCTTTAGGTGAACCAAATTGTTGGTTATACTGATAATCGGCTTAACCGCATTTCATTTATGTCTGAATAAGGTTCCTAGTCTTGTGTGTCAAAGACTTGAGTGAGATCGAATACAAAGGAGGAAAGAATTATTATGGAGTGGCTCAATTTTTTTAATGATATGTATTATTCTACTCAGTTAGTGTTGGCCTTGACGGGAAGACCTTAAACATTGTAAAAGTGGTAGAACTATCTACAGGTCCGCTGGACACACGTCACCCACTGGCTCTGTAAACGCCACAGCTGTTGTCTTCTGCATGGTTTATGTTATAGAAAAAAATCTGTCTCCCTTTCAACCTCCGCCCCCCCCCCCCTCTCTCACACACACACACACATACACACACACACACACACACACACACGCGCGCGCGCACGCACGCACACACACACACACACACACACACACACACACACACACACACACATACACATACACCTATACGCTCTCTCTCTCTCTCTCTCTCTCTCTCTCTCTCTCTCTCTCTCTCTCTCTCTCTCTCTCTCTCTCTCTCTCTCTCTGTCTCTCTCCCATTCCATATCTACCTCTTTTCTCGCTTTTTCTTCCTTCGTCCCTACCCCCTCTCTCATTCTCACTGCACTGTATCGCTCCTTCTCTCTCATTCTCTTCCCGAATCTCTTCTATCTTTTTCTCTATCTCTTTCTCTCTCTATGCCTCTTTGTCTGTCTGTCCAACCCCGCTCTCTTGCTTGGTTTTTATGAAATACAATTTCGGATGAGGACGTTTGACGTAGATTAGTAAGTCTGTGAGAGCTTTCAGCGAGACCTGCTCCGTGTTCCTTCTCAACAATTATTTGTTTTATTATTGTTCTCTCGGTCTGCCAAAACTTTTTGTATAAAAACATGATTGTTTTTATCCAACTAGAAATTAGTTTGTTTTTTGTGTTGCTTTTTGTGTTGTTTTTTGTTGTTCTTCTTTTTTTATGAGCAATATTAATTTTATTTTCCCCGACTGCGCTTATTTGATTCAATATTTAGGTTTATTTTTTTCCCTGAACAATTTTTATTGTGAGGTTTTTTTTCATTATGGGTTCCTTTTCTCTCAACAGACTGTGAAGACTTTACCTACGGCAGTCGCTGTGTGCACCAGTGTAGTGGAAAGTGCTCGGAGGATGTCCCTTGTGACAAACGAGATGGAAACTGTCTGGGTGGTTGTATCTCTGGCTATCTGGGACAGTTCTGTGATCAACGTGAGTGATTAGGAAAAACAGATGGGCTGAGAGATTTTTTTTTCTTTGGAAGTGTTTTACGGTGCTCGCAACTGCATATGGTCAAACGAGCCCGCGGGACACATTAAACATTTTCAGTTTGGAAGGAATTAATCTTAAATTTGGCCTGGGTGGCGGCCGAAGCCTACTCATCGATTTTAGGACCTCCAAGGGCAATTTACACACAGGACCGCCGAGATTTTTTCGCCACTTAGCTTTCGAATTTTACATAATTAATGAAGGTTCAGAATCATTTAAACGGTGCACAGTTTAATTGAGGAGCCTGAGGTCACTGTAATTTAATTTTCGTTTTTCATTAGTTTCGTTTAGATCTAATCTTGGGAGAGTCCGTATTCTAAGACGCCTTTGAAAATAAGTTAGGTTTACTTTCACTGCGCAGTGAAATTCTGGAGTGTACAACCACGAAAGCGGAATAGAGATTCAATCTATACATCTCTATATCTAGACCTTTTATTTTTTTGCATCTCTCAAGATTTATTGCTTCATTCCAGTAGAGTGTAGATATAGTAGGCCAATAACTTTCAGTTGATGTTAATGCACCGATCATTCATTTCATCGAAAGGGGGTCCAGCTAGTTTTCATAATTATATATCTCTTCTATCGTTGATCTAATTCGTTAGGCTATGATGTGTTCATCTCCTAAATATTTCCCCGTTTCTTTTGGCCCAATGATTCGCCCTGTTATTTCAGAATGTCCAAACAACACTTACGGTCTCAACTGCTCCAACACCTGTAGCCCCACGTGTGTACTCAGAGCCACCAGCAGCAGCGCCAGTGACACACTCAGGCGATGTCATCATGAGGCTGGGGCATGTCTCTACGGTTGCCTGGAAGGTTACGAGGGAGTGAGGTGCTCCGAGAGTGAGTCCCTTTAACGACTGTTGATTATTTGTGTTTGGTTTTCTCTAGAACATCAGCGTCCTGCTACCTATAATGTAAGATACTTCAGTGATGGAAACGTTTTGGACTTCAAGTGAGGTTGTCAGATGAAGAGATAAAATGGACCTGGAAGAACAAAATACATCAGACCCAACAGGAACTTTATCTCCCAACTGTTGAGTTTTGTCGTGGTTTACAGAAGTATCACAGCTTTACCTCGTAGAGACACTCTGTACTCCTCTATCTCACACATGTACTTCGATAGCACAGGAATGTGATGTCTTACCCACACGTACTTCACTAACACAGATATGTACTTCGACAATACACGCCTGTGTTCCCTTTGATCTAATACACGGGCACATCGATAACACAGGTGGGTTTTTACTTCTTTTTTTTTTTTTGGTAAGTGTTTTAAAGCGCTCGCAACTGCATAAGGTCAAATGATCACGCGGGACACATTGAATATTTTTCGTTGGTGGGAAGTTTTGAATTTTGCCAGGGTGGCGGCCGAAGCCTACTCTTATCTATTCTGGACCACCAAGGGATCATTAACGTGCGCAACTTGCACATGGGACCTCCGAAAATTGCTGGACAAAGTGGACGCCATCCTATCGGGGGAAAGGAGCTTAGCAAGCCGCGTTTCTTGAAACCGCGCCCATGTACCTTAGCTCTCACAACAGACATGTAACAGAAACAAAATGAAACTGCATTATATCTTTAAAACTAACTTCAAATTATATATATTCGCTACGCACAAAGGAATTGTGTGTACAAATCTCTGATTTTGCAAGTAGTTAGACTCTTTCCTCTGGCACTCGGGCACAGGTACTTAGTAATATAATTTATTGGGGTCAGTCTGACGTGTACAACACCCCAGCATAGAATAGGCATCGGTCATCGAGTTGAGTTTCTCTTTCATCTCTCAGGTGACAATGAGGACATTCAAGTAGGTGCTATCGTTGGACTGGTCATGGTCATCATCCTGCTGATTGGCGCTCTGGTTACAATTTTGTTGTACAGGTAAGACACACCCACACGATGATTACGTTTTCTGATAACCTGGCCCATCTACCCATCCTTCAACCAATCTGTGTACTATGTGTCTGATTCGCTCCACCCATCTCTCTCTCTCTCTCTCTCTCTCTCTCTCTCTCTCTCTCTCTCTCTCTCTCTCTCTCTCTCTCTCTCTCTCTCTCTCTCTCCCTTTTTCTCACTGTCTCTCTTTCTCTCTTCCATCCTGTTTTAGGCAACTCCCCAAGCAGATTGTCATTTGCAGACCCGATAAAACAAAAAGTTCTATCACGAAAATGGTATATTCAAGGTACACAAGTCACAAACCATTCTGAAAGTCGTAGCCGCATACATTATTGTCTCGCAATACACCGTGTTTTACCATTCCACCTTTCAAAACAGTGTTTTCAGTAACAAGACCTCCGATATGCTTCCCGGGAAGCTGAGAATGTTTCGGAGTGTTCTATGGTCTGCTGGGGTAATAATATAGTGTAAAGCGCATAGAGCCTGCTGCTGAGCGGGGATATGCGCTATACAAATGCTATCTATTATTATTATTATTATTATTATATCGTCAATTTCCGATAAGACCGAGCCTGATGGTTTTGAGGAATAGAAACTCCTCAAGAATAAAAAAATGGTGTTCTTTTCTCGTCAAGGAAACGAAGAAAGGCCCAGAAGGAAAGCAACTCACCACAAAATGATGCGGTCTCCATGGATACTGCTGACGCCGAGAACAAAACCAAACAGAACCCGTATGAGAACCAGGAGAACACAGGTAGGAGTTGTGTCAGGAAACACAGGTACTAAGTAAACGTTTTGTCAGGGTATACAGGTAAAAGTTTTGTCAGGATGCACAGGTAAACGTTTTGTCAAGATATACAGGTAAAAGTTTTATCAGGATACACCGGTAAAAGTTATGTCAGGATACACAGGTAAAAGTTTTGTCAGGGTATACAGGTAAAAGTTTTATCAGGATGCACAGGCAAAAGTTTTGTAAAAGTTTTACACAGGCAAAAGTTTGGTAAAAGTTTTACACAGGCAAACGTTTGGTAAAAGTTTTACACAGGCAAAAGTTTTGTTCAGGTAAATATTTTGTCAGGGTATACAGGTAAAAGGTTTATCAGGATACACAGGCAACAGTTTTGTCAGGATATACAGGTTAAATTTTTATCAGGATACACAGGCAAAAGTTTTGTCAGGATATACAGAAGTTTTATCAGGATACACAGGTAAAAGTTATGTCAGGATACACAGGTAAACGTTATGTCAGGATACACAGGTAAAAGTTTGGTCAGGATACACATGTGAGAATTTTGTCAAGGCACCGCTTTTCTGGAAATTTTGTGGACTTCTTATACTTGTATAATGTCCTGGAATATACCCCGTTCTTTGTTATATTCGTTTTTATGTAGCTGTTTCGTACGTCCTCATCAACAAAATTTACATAATTTAAGAGACGGGCTTCGACCGTGCCTGTAAGAGCCAAGCCAGGCTGAGAGAGGTACACTGTCCCAGCTGACAGACAGAGAGACTCGATGGAAAGTCCTCCCATACGGGAATCGCACAAATGTTTTCTTTGTACTCGTATGACGGGAAAGTGCGCAATTGGTACACCTCTGATACCCAGTTTTCTTTATTTGTTCGGACAAAACGATAAATTGTTCACTTTGAAAAGCTGAAAGAGTAGAAAAGTGATATTCAGGAGACACCAAGAAGTATGTTTGGTCATAAATGTTAAGTAATTATGGGCAGGTTATTATTTCATTTTCAGCCATGTTGCTGTTCCCTGGTTGTCAGGGGATAAGTCACGAGGATTGTTACGTAAGACAGCCTAACTATGTGATATCTTTATTGACACCAACAAATGTTCCCAAATCCGTGGTTACAATAAAGATATTTTTTTCTTTTTAGTAGAAGTTTTACGGCGCTTGCAACGGCATACTGTCATATGAGCGCCAGAAGATTAGAGGTGTTAACAAACAAAAAGAAAGAAGAAAGGGAGATAAGGACGATAGATGTTTGATAGGAAAGAAGGAACAAAGCACACCAGAGCACCCGCCAATCACCCACAAAGATACTTCTTTAATTTGTGGTCACTACATTGTTTTATGTTTGCCCATTAAAAAAGTCACTAAGACCTTAACAATGCTCTTTTTTTCTAGCGCTGGTTTTTATGTTTGTTTTGTTGTTGTTGTTGTTGTTGTAGTTGCTGACGTAATTTTAAAAAAAATTGTTTTCTTTAAAAAAATCAAATAATTGTTCCCAATATTCCAGACGACGCCAAGCCACAAGTAGAAACATCTCAGGCTTCCAAAGGACCAAGTCACACAGCTCAACCAGTGACGGATGTAGATACATCTACCTACTGTAACGAGGAATCTGTCTATGAAATGTTATAAAACACGGAGCTTCATATTCTGTTTGGCAAAGAAAATAAATTCCATCAGAATCAAGCCAAGGGAAGTCACTCAGTGTATCCGATGACTCCTTTGCTATGTTGAGAGTTGTGGGTACGCTGTACTTTAGACTGCAGAAGATATTCAGAGACGTCTCCGGCGAGCACTATTCGGAGCCGTACTCCTGCACACAGATGCACTGCTTTGGGGAGTCAAACTGCGTATTGTTTGCTGCAAATCACACATATAGCCACCGGAACTGTCGCAAATCAATTATTGTCAAGAAAATTCCAAATCTAACTGCTAATATCAAACTATGGTTCAAAACGGGGGGGGGGGGGGGGGCTCGTATTTGGTCCAGAAGCACAAAGCATTTCGATTGGTCTATCTCTGTCGAAGACGTCTCCGGATAGATACCGCGGCTTTAGACTTTTCTTGTGTTTCTTACACTCGCTGAAGACTGAAGATGTTTTCTTTGACCGTGAGGCACATAAGAAACCAACTTGCCTTCGGGTCAAAGTCGAGATAAGCAGACTGCACCAGCACTACATGTTCCTTCCTCTCTCAATATTTCCAACTGGCTCAATTCGTCGATAAAAGCTAAATTAGACTTCAGCTCTCTGTTGTCGAATAGACTGTTACTTTTTTCAAATCTTTAATAAAAAAAAAACCCACATCGCTTAGAGACTACCCGGGAATATATGCGACCACTTAAAGGCGATATAACGTAACGATAAAAATAATTTGTTTTGTTAATTAAGTTTATTTCGAGGACTAGAAAGATGTTCTTTCTTGCATCGTCTAGGTACAGTATCCTTGGAATCAACCTGCATGCGATTTACTATTCTATGAAAAAGAATGCACATTATTGCTTATTTTTTTTTTTTCATTCCTTGTTGTTTCATCCCCACTTGTGCTGGCTAAAATCAGCTGAGCATGACGTCACAGACCTGTGTTTTGTGTAACACCGATGGAATAAAGAATGTAGCAGGACGGACAGAGATCTGCTCCATCGTTATGACGTCATGGTTGTGCCATCATGGCCTACCTCGGACTTTTGCCATTATGGAATGTAACCATTTTGTAATCCCCCCCCTCTCTCTCTCTCCCTCTTTCTCTCTCTCTCTCTTTCTCTCTCTCTCTCTCTCTCTCTCTCTTTTTTTCTCTCTCTCTCTCTCTGTCTCTCTCTCTCTCTCTATGGTGTATCATTTAGTTGGATTTGTTTTTTGGGGGTTTCTTTTTTTTTTCAAAAGTACCGACCCATTATCCTCAGTTTAGACATTTCCAGTATTTTAATGAATAACAATGGATTCCAGAACAACAAATTATCGGGTTTTCTCGATTTTCTCAAAAGAGACAAGAATGAGTTAGGCCATTTTGGCAGGATCATGACGATGAAAATGTACATATAGAATCTGACCTCACTGTGAACATAATAATATTGCTATCTCGTTCACTCGAGTATTATTTGTAATGTAACTTTCACCCTAACTTTGCTGGACACGAAACTCTGTCAAAGAGTTGAAAATCACGCCCGCTCTCTCGAGATACATTCCTATCCTGTTTCCATAGGTGGTATAATACGTATGTCTGTCGCCTCTCTCTCTCTCTCTCTCTCTCTCTCTCTCTCTCTCTCTCTCTCTCTCTCTCTCTCTCTCTCTATCTCTCTCCCTGCCTACCTATCCCCCCCTCTCTCCTCGTATCTTTCTTCCCTCCCCCCTCTCTCTCTCTCCCTCTCTCACTCTCTCTCTCTCTCTCTTTCGCTCTCTCTCTGTCTCTTTCTCTCTCTCCCTCTCTCTCTCTTTCTCTCTCTTTCTCTCTCTCTCTCTCTCTCTCAATCTTCCTCCCCTCCCTCTCTGTCTCTCAACTCAACATGAAATACTATCTACCAGCTGCTTTTTTGCTCCCCCTCTTTGTAGACCTGGTGCAATGAACCCAGACGTTTTCTTTTTTGTATATTGCGACAGCTTTTAGTATTATTATTACCGTATATAGACTTCAGTAAACTACATAAGTTTCTGCTTTGACATGTACAGATAGTTGCAGTAGATCTAGACATACTTGTTATTATTCAACCAACTTTTTTTGTTGTTGTTTGTTTCATTCTTTCTTTCTTTCTTTCTTTCTTTCTTTCTTCGTTTTTCTTTCTCTCTTTGCTTTTCGTTTTTTTGTTTTTGTGTTGTTTTGTTTCTAGGATGCCCGGAGATACTTCTAGAATTGCATAATTCATACTTATTACTATTCCGGGTCTGTTTCCGATAGTGCGGGTAGACAGAGAAAAAGCCTGGGCTTATCCCTGGACAATGTTATCGTACTACCCTATCGTCTCGGACGAGTCAGAATGACCGCCATAATGATTAATTCCTTGTGTGATAGCGCAATCGTTAAAGTTTATACCACTTGGTTCCGTATATTATTATTTTGAAAGTTACACTGATTTACAGAATCTTTGAGTTCTCCGGTACAGATAGAAATTGTAGGCTATAGTTATAGCTTTTGTTGTTGTTGTTGTTGTTGTTTTTTGATTTACAGAATCTTTGAGTTCTCTGTTAAGTATAGAAGTTACATAAATTTATAGATCTATTTTTTTGCTTGTTTGTTTGCTGGGGTATTTTTTTTTTTGCTTTTTTTGGGGGGGGGGGGGGGGGGGGGTTGTTCCCCATTGTATCTCCTCTCTCCTCTCAAACCCACACCTCACTTGTATCATGTACGCTCTAACTCCTCCACCATTCACACTTGTCTTTTGATTATATTTACGGGAAATGAACTTATTTGTTTCTTTCTCGCAAATCTCCCTATCCCTTTCTCTCTTTCTCTCCCTTTCTCTCTTTCTCTCTTTCTCTCTCTCTTTCTCTTTCTCTTTCTCTTTCTCTCTATCTATCTCTCTCTATCTATCTCTCTCTATCCATCTCTCTATCTCTCTCTCTCTATCTATCTGTCTGTCTGTCTATCTATCTATCTATCTATCTATCTATCTATCTATCTATCTATCTATCTATCTATCAACACGTTTCTCTTATTGTAGGCCTGTCCCAAGTGACTTTTTTGTATTTCTGTTATATTTCATTACTCGAAAATAAACTATCCTTGCTGAGAAAATTTATTTGTCGTTTAGGACTTTGTGTCGTTTCTTCAAAATTGAATATTTCGTTAATTCACGTACAATTGTTCACTTTTAAGGACAAGCGGGCTAACCCAGATTTCGGGGGTTTCCAGAAATCTTGACCTACACCAAAAGTGGGCATTGCCCTACCTATATGAGAAGTTTGGTTTCATTGGGTGTGCACTGGTGGGGATATAGAGAAAACTCTCTTTGTATTTTAAAGAAACTGAATAAGAGGCCAAAACTTTACCTTCGATTTTCTTAAAACACCATTTTTCGGGATAGCCCCCTCATGTTTAAAAGCGACCTATTATCCTCATAACTAACCCCAGTCCCCCTGAGAGTATGAGTCCATCACGTTTTTGAGGACCAGTGTATGAACATCGACATGCTTGTGTTGTGTGTTACGATTCTGTTTGTGATTTTAATTATTCGCTGCTCTTATTTCTGTTGTTTTTAGGGTTATTTAAACTTCGTATTTATTTTGGTGGTGGTATTGTTCTTGTTGGTAGCTTTGTGTTCTTGTTGTTGCTTTTTGTCGTCGTCGTTGTCGTTGTAGTTGCTTTTGTTGTTGTTGTTGTTGTTGTAGTTGTTGTTTCTGTTTGGTAGTTTCGGGGGGTGCTCCACTAGAGCGTCAGTTGGTATCATTCTGGACAGTGAAGTAGAAGACCCTTGTGACGGCTACCTATGGCCTCACATTATAAAAAAGATGAATACATGAAGAGAGACAACAACACAACTGCTCTCCTTGCTTGCCTGCCGGTAACTGAAGCTCTAACTCCTCCACCATTCACACTTGTCTTTTGATTATATTTACAGGAAATGAACTTATTTTTTTCTTTCTTGCAAATCTCCCTATCCCTTTCTCTCTTTTTATCCCTTTTGCTCTTTCTCTCTCTCTCTTTCTTTCTCTCTATCTATCTCTCTCTATCTATCTCTTTCTATCCATCTCTCTGTCTCTCTCTCTATCTATCTCTCTATCTATCTGGCTGTATATCTATCTATCTATCCACCTATCTATCTATTTACTTTAGATCACACTGAAATCCCGTGTGCATATTGAAAACGAGGCGATGTGTGACGTACCAAAAAGGGCGACACAACCGTGACAATAGAGAATCATTCTTTCAACACTCGCGAGACAGTTCATTTCCCATTTTTACATCAGACACAAACAATACAACCCTGGATCGAGTTTCCAACTTAACGTGACGTTCTTAAACTCGGGTTGGTTCTACTTCTTAATTGGTAACCTTACCCTTTGCAGAGGGTTGGACGAGGCGTTAATTATATACTACAACGACAACAACAACAACAACAATAGCAACAACAACAACAACACGAGGCTGTCAACAACAGCAACAGCTACAACAACAGCAACACGAATCTACCAACAACAACACTAACCTAAAAAAAAATGCGAAGCTAATAATATACAGCAGCAGCAGCAACAGCAGCAGCAGCAACAGCAGCAGCAGCAGCAGCAAGTAGTTGGGTAGTTCGTTATGGGATAGAGGGAAAGGCGCAGAATTCAGTCTTTTGGGTTCCTGAACTGATATGATTTATCCTTCAATCATAAATTGATATATATGTGTGTGTCATCGTTGTGAAGCCATTCTGTTACCAGGCGCCGGTCAAAATGATGAAATCCAAGAAATTGATATTTCTTTTCGCCCTCTGGCCAATATTTATCAATTTTTATTTTACTCTTTTTTTTCGTTCAGCACTTTTAATGTCCACTTTAAAAGACACCTCAGTGTGGATTTTACCGAAAGACGTTGATTAAAACCACAAAAAACGTAAATATATAGTTTCCAAAGACATTTTCACTCAAGCTTTTCTGGAATTCGCCATTTCCCCTCTAATTTTACCTCTGACACCTAGTGACTCCATACTCCTTCATCCATCAAAAAACAACGCAAATGAACAAATGATAGTATACTATCAATAACTCTAGAT